TATTATTAACGATTGCTCATTATTTATTACATGTTAGAATATGTATACAGGGTGGTGCAACCAAGATGGGGTGGAAGATTACGCCTGAACGACGAGGAATTATGAAATAATTTTTTGTCACGAGGTACATAGTTAAGAGATCTATATTCCAAAAATATTTTCATTATACAGGGTGCACACAAAAGTCCGTGGCAAACCAAACATATGTTTTTTTAAATGGAACACCCTGTATTTGAATCCTAAAATGAATTTTACCCATTACTACGATGTTTTTGATATAATGGTTGATGAGTCTAAAGTTTAGTTTTAGAGAAAATGGCGCTTAAACTTGAAAAACAACCCCCAAATCAATCAAATTCCTCCCCCATCTAAAAAGGTTGTCAAAAAACAAAACCTAGAACAAAATGTACCATATCCTTGGGTATAATAATGAATCTTGACTGGTTCAAAAATCACTGACTAGTATACAGGGTGATGGAGCTTGACTATTTCACTCGAAAGTCAATTTTTTTAAATGGAACACCCTAAATTTTATTTGCCCATGTTAAAGGCAATAAAACCAGCTTTCAAAAAATATGGCACATGATACCCTTCAATAAAATACTTCCTAAGGAAATCATTGGAAAACTTTAATTTTTCAAAGAACGACTGAAACAAACTGTGAAATAACGACTAAAACTTCAAAAATGATCAATATGATATCAGTTCTATACGAATGTCAAAGAAATCCATTATTAGCTAGTAGAGTGTATGCGGCACGATATCCGGAAAACGAGAAAAAACCAAGGCCTGAAGCTTTTCGCTCATTATTGAACCGATTTGAAGAGACAGGAAGTGTTGTATTCAAAAAACGTGCAATAGTTAACAAACCAGTAACAAATGAAGAAAATCAACTAGCAGTATTACTAACTGTACAAGAAAATCCACAAACAAGTACTAGATAAATTGAGAGAAGCCTAGGTATAGACCGCACTAGCGTCAAGAGAATTTTGAAGCAGCATAAATATCACGCCTATCACATGGAATTACATCAGCAACTTTATGATCGGAATTTTAACAGCAAGGAAAACTTTTCTATTTTGATGTTAAACAGGGTTAGAGATGATCCCAATTTTATAGATAAAATGCTGTTTTCCGACGAAGCAACTTTTAAAAGTAACGGTCTGATTAATCGCCATAATATGCACTTTTATTCAGTAGAAAACCCTCACTGGGTTCGCCAAATTGATCACCAAAATAAGTGGTCTATAAATGTTTGGGGTGGAATAATTAGTACTCACGTGATAGGCCCCAATTTTTTCGAGGATCATCTTACTGGTGAAATCTTTAAATTTTTTAGAAAATGAATTGCCGCTGCTTTCAGAAAATTTAAATTTAGCACTAAGAAATTCTTTCTGGTTTCAACATGACGGAGCCTCGCCACATATTCATATAAATGTACAAAATTACTTAAACAAGTGGAAGAGAAATCAGTGGATTGGCCGTGGTGGTCCGATTGTGTGGCCGGATTTTGCGGCCAGATCTCCTGTACTGACGCTTCGCGCCGATGGACTACTTTTTGTATGGGATACGTCTCAGAACAAGTATATAAAATGCCTCCAACAACGGCAGATGATACGAAAATACGGATTCAATAATGTTTCCATCAAATTACCTTACCTTACCTTACAGACCTTACAAAATGTTGAACCTTCCTTCATACCTCGGCTTGAAATATGTCTTCAACAAAATGGCGGCCTGATTGAACAACTCTTATAAAGCATTTACATCTTTCTGTAACGTTAGTAATAATGGTATTGAATTTCTTTATTTGTTATTGATTTATTAACTACTGTATATTTTGTGAATGTAACCCTTCCTTTCTCTTAAAACAGTTCAATAAAGAATGAGAAGCTACAGTTTACTGACATCATAGCCCTCTTACTAAATGTTGAAGTTTCGGTCGTTATTTCATAGTTTGTTTCAGTCGTTCTTTGAAAAATCAAAGTTTTCCGATGATTTCCTAATAAAGTATTTTATTAAAGGGTATCATGTGCCATATTTTTTGAAAGCTGGTTTTATTGCCTTTAACATGGGCAAATAAAATTTAGGGCGTTCCATTTAAAAAAATTGACTTTCGAGTGAAATAGTCAAGCTCCATCACCCTGTATACTAGTCAGTGATTTTTTAATCAGTGAAGATTCATTATTATACCCAAGGATATGGTACATTTTGTACTAGGTTTTGTTTTTTGACAACCTTTATAGATGGGGGAGGAATTTGATTGATTTGGGGGTAGTTTTTCAAGTTTAAGCGCCATTTTCTCTAAAACTATAAGCTTTATACTCATCAACCATTATATCAAAAGCATCGTAGTTATGGGTAGAATTCAATTTTAGTATTCAAATACAGGGTGTTCCATTAAAAAAACATATGTTTGGTTTGCCACGGACTTTTGTGTGCATCCTATATAATGAAAATATTTTTAGAATATAGATCTCTTAACTATGTACCTCGCGACAAGAAATTATTTCATAATTCCTCGTCGTTCAGGAGTAATCTTCCACCCCATCTTGGTTGCACCACCCTGTATATTGTCGAGACTGCCCAGACATTACAATAATGACTCCTTTGTTTCACATCTAACTTGTTTTTGTCATGATTACGTTGTTCGAAAAACATAGATGTTTCATAATAATTCTGTGTATGTTTAGCCTTCATTGTCTTACGCTCAGGGGCGTATATTTTTCTAATATAAAATTGTTACAATTATTATTGAAGATTGCTCATTATTTATTACATGTTAAAATATGTATATATTGTCGTGACTGCCCAGATATTACAACAGCAACCCCTTTGTTTCACATTTGACTTGTTTTATCATGATTATGTTGTTCTTTGATTTCTTGTGCTCACTTTATGTCATACGTCTATACGAGCCTTGTTGAAGTTACTAACATTTTCGCCCGTGCGGAACGAATCTGGATTAAGCTGGATTGCCTCCCGTATGGGACTCCGGTGTTGAGAAGGATCTTCCGAAATATCAACTTTAGCTGGACTGCCTCTCGTATTATGGGACTCCAGTACCTTCCGGCCCTGCCGGCTAACTAACACCAAACCTCATCAGTTTTACTTGGAAGTGTGTATGACTAATATGGGGTAACAGATGACATTTAGTGACACATTAAATGAGACAGCTCTTATTTATCATTAGCAAAGGATCTTAATCTATCCCTTTGGTTAGCGGTTGTTTTGTATTTATATTTGGGTGGTAAGAGCAACGATTGTGGGTTTCTCTGCCATACTCTTTCCCCACAGGAGCTCTAGGTGAGCCTGACACACTCATTCTATGTTAAATGGTTGTTAATGTTTTTGTTGTTCTTTCTATTTGTCACATGTTTAATTTGAAGACTGTTGTACGTAAACAATAAAGTTAGGTGTATTTACTCTGCTTTTGTTTTATAAAATTAAACCATACATCCCCTCAAAAAAAGTTAGTAGCCAGCGCCTTCCGGTCAATTAAAAAAATAGATACATACAACGTAGGTATTCCTTATGACGATCACATATTTTTGGCCACAACTTTGTATGATTTTTTTTTATCGAACCTGGGGTTGTTATACTACAATTGTCATGGGTGAATGCAAATTGAATGCCCTTTCGACTAATATAAGGTTGTCCATACTTGTCTCTAACAGTTTTCCAGAAAAATCAGGTTCTTTTCTAAAGTCCTAACCTAAAAAGTAACTATGTAACAGCGTCAAGAAGGCCTTGCAAACAATGTTTATTGCACTGTTTGAAATACAAAGCAAATTTAATGTCACTCTTTTTTATTAACGTTGACGTTGTAGTTAAATAACTACAACTGCTAAGTAGAGAGTAAAAGTTATTATAATATTTTCAAAATGTCGCTGACGGAGCAAGAAATGATTGATATGGTTTTTGTCCTCGATGAGTGCGACAGAAATCAGTTATTGGCATCAGGAATTTATGCACCGCGCTATCCACACAGAACACATCCACTTCGTAAAGCTTTTCAACTAGTGCTTGATAGATTTTTAAATACCTACTGGTAATATTCGACATACAAAACGAAATCGCCGTAAAGCTGTAGTTACTGAGGAAAATGAATATTTTGTGCTGGAGTGTATTCAGGAAAACCCACAAATAAGTGTGCAACAAATTAGTCACACAACGGGTATTAGTACAACGTCGATACATATGAATTTACAAAATCACAGTTGTCATCCTTATCGCATCCAATTACACCAAGAGTAAAGAGTAGAGAAACATTGGCACCGTCAGTCCCAAGCCTGATAAAATGTGAGGGAAAGTGGTTTTGCAAAGCCTTCTTGATGCTGTTGCATAGCTACTTTTTCGGACTTTAGAAAAGAACTTGATTTTACTGGAAAACTATTAGAGATAAGTATGGACAACCTCATATCAGTCGAAAAGGCATTCAATTTTGCATTCACCCATGACAATTAACATTGGTCATTCCATTTGAATGAAAAAAAGTTTTTCAATTCAGATTATTTATTTATTTATTTATTTATCATTAAATGTAGGTTTCAGTGTTTCCGTGTACGTACACGCTTTGCACACAGATGACAAGATAGAGTAATTTATGCCAAAGCAAACTGTGAAAACTGCAGGTTTCTAATCCTTACGGTTTAGGTGCTATCTAGTTTCATTTAGAAAGCTGAAATCGTGATTTTTTTTTAAATAACTGAATATCTTGAAAACGGTAAGTTTTAAACACCATGTCCATTTAATAAACTCTACCTAATATTAACCAACGAATTAAAAAATGCAATAATATACAGGATACTCTATTTAAAATAACAAAGTTATGTAGCGCCCACCCGAAATGGAATACCCTGTAAAGCTAAAAATATTTTCTTTACATGGCCCACATGATTCCAGACAACTTTTATTAAAACTATTTTTTATAAATTTTACAGTTACAGAAGAATCCCTCTTAGGTGGAACATCATGTATATGCCATTTTCCATACATACCTATTTCTTCGCGGATATGGTGCATATTCAGATGGATGCCTCTTGTAAAGATCACACAGGTTTTCATCAGATGGCACTTTCTGTCGAACACAGGCGGTAAGAAACGATGGACGATTTGAGCATGGTGAACTGTGATGTGAAGATAGACAACCAAAAAGACTTTGCTTGTCGTTTTCCAGTGCTCCCAGTCCTCTGTTAGATATACAATATTGTTCCCTTATATCCTGTTTACTGTAATGTGCCGTTCCCCGCCTGTCCTTATGTAATCGTCCCATTATTTCATCTTCCGATTCGTAACTTAAAGCCACGTGTTGAATATCCGCCTAAAAAGAAAACTATTTATTATAGCTGTTTTACGAAGTTCTTAATGAATTAATTCACGAATTTATTGGTAAACAGTGTGGTTTTACACTGCTACAGACTTTGTCAAGTTTTTTGACGTGTGAATCAGTTCTACCAATGAATCAAAGAAGCAAATAAATTTCAAAAATGTCACCTTTCCACTCATAATTGTAGTGATACAACAGCGGTACCGTTCTGACACATATTATATAAATATTAGTTTTTGTAAATAACAAATCAGTAAAAAAATGCAAAACTAGCACGTCGCCACACAATTATTTACACTTGTCCAATTTCTTGATGAAGCGACTTCATCAATTAATTGATCAATAAATTGTCAATGTAAAACAGCTTTTAGAAACGGTTTTATAATTATTTGGTATAATTTATTAATATTAATGTTTAAAATACCCAATGTTATCTTCTGTCAAAAGAAATAGTACAGTAATCTCGGAGAACACTCAGAGAGTCAGATGTAAAATGTAGAGAACTAAATAGTAATTTAGTTAGTTGACAGAGAGAATAATGTGCTTTTGAATAAGGAACTAGTATCTACTATCCTTCCTCAAAGATATAATAAATCATCTAGTGAATAATTGACACAGGACACAATAATGACCTCAGTGACGGTATGATGAAAACTATCACTATTTTCAAATTAATAATATTTATAAGTTGTAAGATTAAACCGCGTCTGAGGCAACTCGAGACTTTTTACTTCAGATGCCGTTCAACCCGAGAAGACCAGTATTTCTTACACAAATAATCACGGATATATCTCTGATATCTATCTACCTATTGTATATACAATATAATGTAATTATGTGAAAAATCGTGACCACGTCAGCAAACTTGCCTACCATTCTAGTACTTATACAGGGTGTCTCACTTAATTTTCCTACCCCACTTATCTCGGTTAGTTTTACAGATATAAAAGTTTGTTGAAATAAAAGTTGTAGTGCTGTTTATGTTAAGTTTATGCTTGTAGCAAGAAAAAAAAACAATTCAACTTTAAATGTCGATGTGACAGATAAAACTTATTAATTTTTTTAATGGAACGCTCTGTAAATTATTACATTTTTAGATGTAAAATTGTATTCTGAACAAAAGTACTTAACATACGTGGCACTTATTTTGGACAGTTTTATTCTAAAATATCGGGAAACGAAAACAGAAGAACATAAACAATAGTTCAAATAAATAAGTGTAATGAATATTAACAGAACAAGAAAAATATAAATTATTTTCCTCTGGATGCATAAATCATAACTTTTACTTATTGATGCGATCACATTTTCTAATACGTCGGGATTATTATTGATATTCGCAATTTCGGTCGTTATTCTTTCAACTAATTGATTTACATTTTCTACTCTATTAGTATATATTTTATTTTTTAAATAACCCCACAAGAGAAATCCAGTGGACTAAGATCTGAACTACAAGAAGGCCACAATGTGGTGCCTCGCCTATACCAATCCACTCCGTGAAATTGTTATTTAAACGTTGGTAACTTCTCCAGTATTACGACATGGAGCTCCGTCTTTTATAAGATTATTACCCTCTGCTGGTTTAATGGAATTTCTGACAGAAAGTTGTCTATTTCGTTTTGTAGAAACTCCAAGTATCTACCTGTTAGACTTCCATGGAAAATAATAAAAAATATCCGCGTATTGAGAATCCCACATTAGACATTTACCGTTCTTCTTCCCTGAAATTGAATTTCGTTCACAAAATGGGGGTTTCCATGAGACCATATGTTTTTTCTATTAAATATGCTGGCTGTTGCCTCATCCGTTCAAAAAATATTTTTGAAAATACGTGGGTCATTGTCATTATTTATCCATCATTTCCTTGCAAAATGTTACCCATTATCATTTAATGTGAATTTTTGGACGGGCATTACTTTAAAAGGTTTTAAATTATCCTTTTTAAGAACTCTTTGTATCAATGATTTAGAAATAGGTACCAAAATCACTAGCGGCGTTCCTTATGGAGAACCTAGGATTTTTTTGGAAATATAAAAGAATATTTAACTCCATTTCTTGATTATTTTATTATTTCTAGTTCGCTTTTGTCTTCCAATGTATGAAAATGTCTGAACTTACGTGCCATATTCAAGAAAGTTTTTCTATCAGGATACTTGTTTCGGTAATCTCTGACAGCGTCGCTAGCATTATTGTTGTTATTTCAATATACTTACTACGTTTTTCTTTGGGATAATGCATATTTCCCATTTAAATTTACCGAAAATTAATTCACACCTATTGTTTAGTGTTATTTTAATTGCCATAAACATCGAAATAATTGTTGGAAAAAAATATCAATAAAATCATGGCAATCTTGAATATACAATATGCTATTAAATGCAAATATGTTATATACGAGTACTTTTGTTCAGAATAAAATTTTACATATAAAATTGTAATCATTTACAAGATGTTCCATTAAAAAAATAATAAGTTGCAGCTGTCACATCGATATTTAAATTTGAATTATTTTTTTGTTGCTACAGAAACTTCATAAAAAACACTAAAACTTTTATTTCAACAAAATTTATCTGACCAGAGAATTGTTCTGCATATAAAAGGATATTCCCTCTTTCTTTTTGTAACCATTTACAGAATCTTAATTTCCTCGATTTATCTCCCTCCCTATAGCGATGCACTTTTTTCACCTTATAACATTTGAAACAATTTTTTCGTAATATCCTTCTTGCACTATTCTTCTTCACACTGCAATTTATTTCAATCTCTCTCAAACATGTATCACTGTTTTGCTCATTTTTTCTTTACAATTTAAAATTCCATGAACATTACCTATGTTATTATTAACAATAAATGATTTTATTGCTCTATCATAATTTTAAATATTATTTAAAAAATTTTTAAATATTATTTAAAGATTGTTTATGCAAGGTTCAACCGTCAATACTGAAAAATTTGAATGAAGGTTATAGGAAAATTGTTCTTCAAATTGATCTTTAATCCTGAATCCTTTGTAAGAGTCCGTTATGGTGCTTGATTAAAATATTAATAAAAAATGAGATAGGAGAAGTACGGAAATAAATTGGAACGAAAGGGCGCTGAAAAGTATAAAAAAATTATCAGAGATGATTTGAAATTGATAGTTAACCAAATACTAAAAAGCAAAGATGACACTAATCGAATATGAATGAATTAGCAGTTTGACATAAAAACCTCGATTAGGTCATCAATTTTTACTTAGAATTACTTTGCAATTACTAATTGCAAAAGATTCAGAAGTCTGTCTGATTTTTTTTTTTGATCTTATATTAATTTCTTTTATTCTTTAAAGGGAGCACCCTATTATAGTTTTACATATTATATGGGAACGTTTACTATGATTTATATCCACCTCTGATTGTAAGAATGCACTATAAGTAAAGCGTTAGAAGGGGTTTATTAGTAAATAGCAAAAATTTACGGAGAAGGGCTAGGAAAAATTGAAAAAAAAAATTTTTTTCTATATTCAAATAATCATTTATATGGCCCCGCCGAACTTGAATCCGCGGTCAGAATTGATGTTTTTTTTCTAACCTAAAAAAACGAGTCAATTAAGGTCAAATATCACGAATTTTGAAAAAATAACAAATTCGCGCCAAATTTGGTATACCTACGAGGGTTTTCGGGGTCGCTGATCACGGATCCGAGGTCAATTTTGCAAAATCCAAGATGGTGGATCCAAGATGGCAAACCAAATTTTCAAAAAATAACACATTCGCGCCAAATTTGAAATACGGGGGTTTTCGGGGTCACTGATTACGAATCCGAGATCAGATTTACAGAATTCGTTGTTAAAAATTTAACCAATTATCTACTTTAAGAAGGTTAAAACATGGTTGGGTACTCAGGTTATAACGTAAACAAAAATATTGCAAAATGAATATTATTTTTTGAAAATTTAGTCGACCATCTTGAATCCGCCATCTTGAATTTTGCAAAATTGACCCCGGATTCGTGATCAGCGATCCCGAAAACCCCTGTATACAAAATTTGGCGCGATTGTTATTTTTTGAAAATTTGTTCCCCCATTTTGGATCCGTCATCTAAAATTTTACAAAATTCACCTCGGATTCGTGATCAGAAACCCCGAAAACCCCCTATTCCTCCCCAAATTTAAGGAGAATGGGTTATTTTTTGAAAATTTGTTCGGCCATCTTGGATCTGCCATCTTGAATTTTGTAAAATTGACCTCGGATCCGTTATCAGCGACCCTAAAACCTCTGTGTATCAAATTTAGCGCGAATCTGTTATTTTTTGAAAATTCGTGATATCTGATATTAATTGTCCCGTTTTTTTTTTTTTGAGGTTAAAAAAAGAACCATCAATTCTGACCGCGAATTCACGTTCGGAGGGATCTTATAAATGAACATTTGAATATAGAAAAAAAAATAAATTGTATTTTTCCTAGAACTTTTTCGTGAATTTTTGCTATTTTTGACCTGTTTCTTTTGAGGTTAGGAAATTCCTGTGATGTGATAGCTCAATTCTGACACCAGATTCGTGATCAGGAGACAAAAATACTACGGATAACATATGTCGCATGAAAAGTACAGACAACTCTTTTTTGTCTGTGGCTGTGTAATCAATACCATTCAAAAATTAATGCTTTTAATATAAAGGATTAATCTTTTTCTTGCAGGAAAATTATTATTTAATAATATGAATATTGGAAAGAACACTTTTTACATTGTCTGCAGACAATTTTACTGCCAGTATTGAAAGCAGCTAAAATATACAACGAATAGTAATAATTACTGGAATTAAATTATTAGTATGCTTTAACCCAGTATTGAACTGGTACTATTTTATGAGTTCTAGAGTCCTATTAAATTTTCCACATAAATAGTAAGTCTTTTCAACATACTTCTTAAAGAAAACTATACCTACTTCAAACTTTATAATGACACAAATGAAATTATTCGTCGAGGAATCGAACTCTTAAAAGTTCTGCTTGT